TGGTCTGTCTGCTCCCCTTTGGCCTTCCTGGCATGGTTGCACCTTGTGGAACGAAGTTCCAGCCAGTGTAACCCGCGGAATCATTGCAGAACTCAAGCCCGACCACCACGTCAAGGTGGCGGCTTTAGGTCGGGTGGAAGTTGTGTAGCATTTGAGGCACCTTAGAGTTGTATTGGTTCCGATGGTAGTGCGACAGATGAGGTACGAATCTGTAAGCTTCGAGTAGCGTTTGCTGATTTGACGTACCCATGGAGTAAAAATATATATCCCCGAATCTCAAGGGGCGTGTATATCTGGCTGCGGTAGTAGGTATTTTGTTGTGCGGCTGTGAGATGCAGTCTCTGGAAACAGCCAAGACGTCTTGGGGTCTTCGACAGCTGTTGTCTTAGAACCATAGGTAGTATGGGCTGGTACAACGGAACTCGGAACGAAACAGTCAGAAAACGAGTGTTGGGTTATGCTCAGTGATTGGCTCATGGGTAAGAGGGCGAACTTACTGACCCGAAGGTTCAGGTTCGAACCCGACCACTGCCCATCGACCGCCCCCATCTAGGCAAGGGCAACATGGCAGTATTCCAGCCCTTGTGCTTCGTTCAAGGGTGGTCTTCCACGGCATGACCCCGATCATTTCTCAGTGAAGGCAATTCACCAGCTATCCGCCGTCACCCACCGATAGAGGGATACACCCAGTTAGGCTGTCCCGTCTTTTTAATTGTCCGAGATCTGTAAGCTCTTCGATTAGGCTTCCTCAGCTAATTTCAACGGTTCTGAATTTGCTTATATTCGTTAAGTTTATCAAGTGTGCCGTACTCCACCAGCATGGCTGGCACACACTCGCAGCTTTTTACCTTTATTCAGCACAAATCTGCAGCATAGGGCTTGAGAAGTCGTCTGGAGTTGACTCCACAACGCGTCAGTATCTCCTTGCTCTGCCATAAATTTGACCGCACTGATGATCGGGGGAGATCTGGTTCGTAGTACACTGGGTTTTAGGATGTTCATTCTTATGAGGCTCCCAACTAGCCGCATGTAGCATCGCTTTGTTGGATGCCAAAGGGTCCTGGCACTCCAGATGGTGGGGTTGTCATCGGCTGTTTCGGAAGTCAGTACAGCACACCCATAGCAGTAATAACCAGGTGATGTAAATTCCGAACCAGCGATCTCATCCACTGGCCATGTCTCGGAAGTCAGTCCAGATAGCAGTGGTCTTTCGTCTATATCATCTCGCTTCCATCAATCCCCTCACGTTGGCACATGCTAGATTTACAGGCGACGACTGGTCGCCCCAGTCTACATTATGACTGGGTAAAATACAAACTTCCTTCTCACCACGGGAAAATCTAAAATGCAGTGATTCGTTTTTCGGAATTTGGTTTCTCCTTGAGAAGTAACACTGCGTGTCGCTACCTCATATTGTTCTCCGGTGCAAGATACGGGCAGAAGATTCACGGCGTGCCTTGCAGTCGGCACCCCCGTAAAAGCGGGAGACCTTTCCGTTGAAACCCAAAATTACACTGAATCGTCCCGAACGTGTTGCAGCTCCTACCTGTTCCCTGATACAGACAGTGCCTAGTGCTTTAACCGTCTTCTCAGTGGCTAAGGTGAGAACAGACCGGAAGGTCTGTGGTTCAAACCAAACCTGAGCACCTTGACTGCCCCTGATCTAGGCTTGAGCATCCTACAGTATCCCAGGGTGACATGGTAACTAAGCACCGAGTGCTGCAGCTGAAGGATAGTTTATTTTTTATCGAGCAACCTGTCAACCATCGAATGAAATCCGGTCCTCCCAAACGACCTTCGGCTGTCTGCTCGTCTAATTCACCTAAAAAGCCCCATGCTCCTTGTGGACCTTGGCTGAGCTGCTTCCTTACGAAATACCATCCGTCTTAAATACGCCCTCTGGACACTTCAGCTTATTTATTCGCTTTTGTCCTTGTTTTCGTTTCTTCTTAGGGTGTGATGCAGAGGGGATCTGGTACAAATGAGGGTGGTCTCTGCCACTATGCTTGCGTGGGATGGACCCTCAGTTAGATTAGAATGTAAACTCTAGATTCTGTGAATTTTATGCTCGCAAACTGCAATGTCTTCACCAGTATGGTGCAAGAGGTGGTTGATCAATGGGTCAACCTGAAATAGCTTAGGCTACTTCAGGTCCCACTATTTACATATGCCACACAAGACTCGCGTGATCCCATACTGAGCAAAAACTCCACTTGAGAAGACCGCCCGTTGATTTAGCCTATGTGGAAAGGTTGTTACACTAATTCGACCTACGGAATCCCGAGTAGTAAAGAGATCTGTCTGGTTAGTCTCGTCTTTATCTGCTGTGTTTTCGGATGCAGCATTCATCATCACGTTTGTTGGTTAGCATAACTTCGGAGGAAAAATTGTTCACTTCTGCGTGCTGCTATTTGCCAGTTCGGTAATTACTATCTCCATTGCGTGCAAAAGCTGATTGCGTGCGTGATTAAAGTAGCGCCAGCCGGGTGTTACCACAAATGCGACGGTAGACGGACTGGATTCGCATGCCCGCAAGGCCAGTACACGTGACGTCCACAGTTAAGTTGTGAGGCAGTACCCTACCCGAACCCTGCTGCCCACAATTGGGGACTGTAGAGGTCGACTAGAACAGCTCGCATATGATTGGTCGAGAAACAGTCACTGCCGGCTGTAATCCTCTCGAGCTCTGATTGGTCGAAAATGTGAGCCCCATTATCAGTGCCAGTGGAAGGGGCACCGATGACACTGATGTTTCGGTACCATGCAACCAGGAGGCTTATTGCGTTCAACTCAAGGTTCCGAAGTTAAGAGGTAGTGGATAATTAAGGGATCCAGTGCTGGTCTTCGGCAAATTTTCCTAAGTGCTGAAGCGATCCGGAAAGGAACTAATATCAAGGAGGTTGCATTACCAAGAACTGCCTTCACCCTAACTCACGGATGGTGATAAAGGCTGCATCATGAAAGGCGGAAGGCAACAACAACAATCTCTTTTGATAAATCATACGTCTTCCACCTTCGTGTGCACACCAAACTGGAAAATGTACGTATGGCAACAAAAATTCCAACAGATGATTTAGCATGTGTGGTACATGGCCGAACCACTGCATTTTAATGGTCCTGAGTAATTTTTTGGATCGAAATACCCGCCGTACCTCTGAAAAAACATTTGCTAATTACTCGGTTAAGAAATGATCTGGGACAGACAACACATGTGAGGCATCGAGGCAAAATTTTGAGTCCACTGAGGTAATATGTAATGTGGAGACAAATTCATTAAGGAGCTCGGTGAGTGGACTGGGTTTTTTGTGGCTAGGTCGGTGGCTGAGAATGTGGGCGGGAATGTGGCAGTCGCGGGATTCCAGGATCCTGGCGGTGACGCCGCGCTCTTCAGGGCAGAGTCCTAAATATTGCGGCTAGATCCAGGAGCAAGTTAGCGTTTTACATCGCGATAGTCATCCTCGTGGAAGGAAGCGTTGGCGAATCCGGTTGATTATTTCACCTCCAATAAAGCCACATCTTCCACGATCTATTCACCTTACGGAGAGTAGATTATAACCGCATTGTCCCAACTAGTCATATTCTGGGATATTAAACTCCCCACAGTCGATATTCAGAGCTTGTCTCCACAGAAGCTGAATCACATGGTTTCTTGCTTCAGGCGGGCGATTCGTCACTTACCTAATGTCTCACACTCCGCAGGCAGCCTATTATTGGTCCAAAGCCACCTTCTCTTCTCAAGTTGTAGACTTGAAGTAGGAGGGATATCACGTTGCTTTAAGGGACCTGACAGCCACCTGCAAATTTACAATAAAGTGGCTTGTTGTCGAAGATTCCAAGAGGCATCTCAACTCCTCATTCTCGTCTCCCTCTCTTTTCTCACTTTTCAACGCGGGCCATGGGCATGGCTACCAGCGCCTCTCCGTGGATGTGAATAAAACCGTAAGTGGCTGCGGTCATCAGTTCATCTTCATTGTCGCTACTCTGCGCCTACCTGTATTCCTGTTCATGTGGCTGAAAGTGTTGGAAAAGTTTGTCCTTTTGAATCATCCCAGGGGGATCAACCATCGTTTGCCGTGACCAACCATGTGTTACTCTCCGGGGTGTGATCCCCGCTCTCGCTCGAAATGTTGCGGTGAGCAAAACTCTTCCCACAGATACTGTCCTTCTTCAGCACATGGGTGTCGTCCAAATAGGCAAAGAGCGAATTTCTTCCAAGTGCCAGTTTTACCTGAACATGGTGGTCTCTTTATGATCAATTTTGATTAATTGGTGATAAAGCTAGAACGGCCTCGGGATGTAAGGTATTTTGAGCCCTGTAAATCATTTGATGGTACTCTTTAATTGGTGGCAATTACCCTAGATGCTTGGACAGGTTTGTCCTAGCAAGACACTAATCACACGCGTTATCTGGTACCCCTTCACAATATTTTTCCAGTTGTTTCAGGACGAGAGATGTTCGTCATCTGTAAGCAAGAATAGCACCACCACACTCTGTCGTACGATACATCTGAACGGACGCCACTTGTGCTCGCACAGCTCCCTCACTGCCAGCGTGTGGCATGCATAAACCGCCCAAGTGGTAAAACCAACCATGCGGTGTCCAGTGGTGATTCGAGTAAAGAATGAAAACGGTGACAAACATCCGTCGGCAGTTTAGACCCACCTCTGTTCCAGAGGACAATTCCAATCGGTGAAAACCATAGATGCGAGCACTTGACCGCTAAGAAATCCTACAAAACGTCACCCTCTAGTCTGAAAACCTGGCTACTCAAAGTTATAAACTGAGCCTTCTTGCATTCCGAAGCAAACGTAGACTAACTTTCTCGATGTGATGCAATCCAAGAGTTCCCTTCCAATCACAATTCAGACAATTGCGAAGGCCGGAACTCTTTTGTCGCAATTCGGGGGCTTTCATATTAAACCATATCCTCCGAGTCCACGCAAATACTCGGCCTCATACGCAGTCACTTCAAAACATTTCGGGCCTTCGGTCTTCCGTAATGATAAAAAGGTGCCTTTATGTCCCCATACACTCGAAGACAGGCGCCTTCGAAGCTCTGGCGCCTTTTGGCTTCGGACCCCACATATCTTCAGACCGATCGGCCTATATTACATACGATCAACAAGGATGATTCCAGCAGCCCAATAAGTGCAACTATTTCCCATGAAATCCATCTCTCTATCGACTTCAAAGTGCAGACACCCCAGGGGAATGTGTGAGAGAAAATCGTTCAAAAATACCAGCCAACGTGTCTTTCCGCAAACCGTGGTGCGCATACCACCTGTTATGCCCTCGAAACTTCATTTACAAAATCGTCGTACCTCCATATTTTTTGTGCCCTGTACCAACGTAATGCAGCCGATTACCCATACAAGTTCTTTCGATGTATACAACATCAATCCTGTCAATAAAGATCCCTACATGAACATGGACTACCTCAGCGGTTACTCACCCTTCTCCCAAAAACACAATCCACAATGTCCAAAGAGTCTTAAACGGCAGATCGAAATCAGCATTGCTATAATCTCTCACGGAAGCATGTCTTTGGCCGGGTCTTCCACTTCGTTCCAACCCTAAACGACTTTATAGTGCTGTAAGAACGAGATTCTTTCAACCCGTACTCCAGAAACCGGTGGCGAGATGTCGCAGTTCTCGTAATAGATTTTTTAAACAAAGTTCTCGGCCCTGAAAGCGTCTCTTTAGTGGGAAACATTTATAATCCTCCCGTATTTTAAATCCACACCCAGATAAACCACCACCAGAAATGGGAATCTCGATAAACATCAGCTAATGAGCACACCAGAACGTCGTGTTACGGCCTCGTTTGCCAGGTTCCTTCTCAGCCAAATGCCGCGGATGATCAGCAGCATCGTCACCTTACCCGAAGCTACGTCTGCGGTTGACATATTCATTTCTGGCATTTCATGTAGGCCTATGAGGCTGATCAAATGTGATGGTACACACGGATGTCCAAAGAGTCCTGGGTGCACTACCGGCGCGCATATTTGTGAGCGTCAAAATATCCCTATGCTGGTGGTGCGAAACATACCTAGGACCCAAGGCGACCAAACCGATGACAAAGATTCACCTAGGGTACTGACAACTAAAAGGGCTGTCCAAGAAACCACGCTAAACCAAATTGTCATTCTGCAATATAGCAACGATATTATTTGAGCCGTCTCTCACGAGAAAAAATTTCGAATTGCAAATGACATGACAGTGGCTACATGTTGCCAACATCTTGCAAATAACTAAACTTCAATCAGATAAAATCTGATAGATGAAATTTTGGGTATTTTGGCAATAAAGGCGCCAACCAGTAGACCAACAGGAATGGCTAATTCATTGGCATCGGAGGCGTTGGATGCCTGGAAACACTGGGCTGAAATGCCCAGTAAGAACAAAAGTGAATAGAAGAAATCTACAGCTGCAGGTACTGGCATACACCTGGGGGCAGCATCGGCCCTTGGGTGACGACTAAAATATTCATTTCTGACGAAATTAAGCCACATGTGGGTCACACGAAGCTGTTTCCCGGAACACTGTGAAGTTGCACATCATCACTATCATTGTCAGCCCTAATAACCACGTACTCTTCGCATAGTGGTTGCGGCTATCGCAGTTTCGCTCACCGATGATCTGGAAAAGTGGGGTGGGTAGCTGTGCATTGTAGGCGGGAGATGATAAATTGGTGCATAAATCCAGCACTGTCAGTGGGCTGCCAAGTAAAGAAGGGTTGAAAAAGGTGATGTGCATTGAAGGCAATAGCTTGGTTGCACGAGCGTCATTGAGGGCGCGACTGGGCGATGTCTAACAGTGTCTCTAGCCATTGATGTGGCCCGTCCGTCTCTCCACATCCAGGAAGACGGCAACTACCAGCGTAGCTGAGTTTGCTGGTAACGGCTTTCATACTTCGCTGCCAAGTCATTGTTTGACCGCCCCTGGCTCTCTTCCACCCTTCACGTGAGTGTGCGAAAAGAGCCCTTCGAGGAAGTCGGTCGACTAGCATACGCAACACGTGGCCAAGCCAGCGCAACCTGTGCAGTGTGATCAGTTCATCTATCGAGGGTGAGTTATTTCTCCCGAATACCATTCGACGTACTTCAGAATTGC